GGTGGGCGGGAGCAAGAGGTCATGTGGGCAGCCCCAGCTGACAACAAGCAGAGCCCCTCAGGTGGAGGATGCTCCAGGCTCGTGGAGGTCCAGGGTCCAGCCCCCTCAGCAGACCCCTCAGCAGAGCTCGCTTGTCCCGGCTGCCTCCCGCCTCCTCTCCAGCCCCTGCCCCAGCTTCCTGGGCATGAAACACTCCATGCGTAGCCCCTGACTCAGCCTCTGCGTTCTGGGCTGGGGCGGGCCGGGGACACGAGGCAAACATTCTCTGTGGTTCTTTATGCTCCTCTAGAATCCACAGCGAACACCTGCCCCGCTGATCACAGAACGCATCTTGGACAGGAATCTCATCCCCTCCTGCAGGCCCAGGGAAGCTTGCAGGCCCTGGTTTCAGGTCAGTTGTGGAGCAGGGGCTTTAATGAGATGCTGTTTGTAGTGCTTGGAAGTTAGGAAGTGCTAGTCCAGTCAGACCTCCTCGCTGCGGAATGCCTGACGGTGCAGATTGCTGGAGCCAACACTGACGGCCTTGTGCAAGGCGCCAGGTCGGGCCTTGGCCCCTCCAAGGGGCCATATGGGGCTGTCCCTTCCTTCTGACACGTGACAGGATTTCAGGGATCGGCAGCACGCCATCACCTCAGCCTCTGTCCAGGCTCTGCAGTTCACAGGCTTCACTTCCCTTTTGTAGGACCAACCCGTAGCCCGTGAGCTCCAGCCCGGACGCCCACCCCCGGCTCAATCATTCCCCTGAGTCTGCTACGGGGTTTCCCTGTCAGTCAGAAACCTCCACAGGTCTGAACCAGGAATGTGTGCTGCTGAAAAATGGAACTCGTGCTTGGCCTACTGTGCTAGAGACGACTTTTTAATTTATCTTTTTGCAGATTACTTTTTAAAAAAGCATGGGCAGAACTCCTTAATGAGTCATTAAATCCACAGGGTGAGTCATGGCCAGCCTTTAAAAACATGAGACAAGCAGAAGAGATGACCTCAGTGCACCCTCCCGAATGCTGGGCCGCCCTCACAGGCAGCTTTATTATTGGGGGGCTGCGGTCACCACGTGCAGAGTGGTCTCCCACAGTCTCCAGCGATCTGGACCCCCAAGCAGCACCTGCTGCCTATGGGAGGTCGACCGGTTCTGTGCCCTCGGCAAACTTGGGAAGGACACACGGAGGTCTCAGAGAGCAGGCTGTCGCAGGAACCCGTCTGGCTCTTGTCTCTAAAGCTCGAACTCAGCCTTCACTAACTGCACTCACAGCAGAGTCATTCTTACTGGGGACAGTGTCCCCTGAGGCTAACACGTTTGTGTGGACCACAGGGAATCTCTGCCTCCCACACCAGCAGTGAGAGGGGCTGCGGTGTTCCTCGATTTGGAGACCTGGTGTCTCGGTCCACTTGTGCCGCTATAACAAAATACCTTAGACCTTATAATTTACAAACAATAGAAATGTATTGCTCACAGTTCTGGAGGATGAGCAGTAAAGGATCAAGGCGCCCCCAGCCTTGGTGTTTGGTGAGGGCCTGTTCCCCAACATGGCATCTTCTGTGCATCCTTACATGGAGGAAGGGACAAAGGGCTCCCTCAAGTCTCTCAGGTGTCAACATATGGTTTGGAGGGTCACACACTGAGACCACCGCACCTACTCCAGGCCCCTGGCAGTTGGTACTGAGTCCTCTGAATATAGCCAGTATTCGCCGAAACCTTTTGCATAAGCAACAGTTAAAAGTAAAGAAAACTGGCTATGTGCAATGCTCTCACTTGTAGTCCCAGCAGTCTGGGAGGCCAACAGCAAAACCCCATCTCTACAAAAATAAAACAAAATAAATAAATACAACTGCCCACTCAGCGAACCCAAAGATGTGGGGGGCTTCGTGCACTTCCTCCGCAGGTGCCCACATGACACTGTTCATCTGTCATCACCACCTCACCTCCCTCTGAATGAAGACCACACGATCTCAGCTCAGCAAGCTCTGGGGCCCCAGGTCCCCCTTTCTGTCCCTCTCTAGGGTGGGTGTCAGTCCTTCGGTCCAGACCTCTGCTGGCCTCTCCCCGAGCGTCTTCCTACGGTGAGGACAGTGATCTCAGGCCCACCTGCCCTTGGATTTCAGGATCCCACCCCTGTGGCCTTGCGTTTCTGAAATGCACCTTGACACTTTGAGTGTTTCCAAAAAGGAGATTCTAATCAAATTTGAATTAGGGGGAAGTGAGTGAAAAGTGAATTTCTGGCAGCAGAAAATGTACAGGAAGGAAGGTGGGAGGCACGCCCAGTTCGGGATGCCGTGTGCTGTGCACAGAGACCGTGTGTGACCCCTGACCTCTGGCCCTGACCGCCTTCTCGCGAGCTGCAGTGAATTCTGGCAGCGACAGGGCTACTTTGTACCAAGTCCTTCACGATGACACGATTCCTAGCACCCCAACCTCTGGAGAACACGAGGTCCCTGGAAGCAAATTCTCAGATTGCTTTTGTTGAACTGTAAATCAGGCTGTATTTTTACTCATCTGACTTAAGCCTTTCCACTTGTGAAGCAGGCTTTGCAAATAATGAGGCAATTTAAGAAAAAAATCATACGTGAAGTGATGCTCAGCAGAAGTTTGGCTTTGTTGTAACAGTTAATTGATAGAATGATTTGCATTTAATCTTAGTTTTGGACAGCAAAGCCTTTGTCCAGGAAGGGATGCTTACAGCCGTGCTCATTAACTGCGAGTTAGTCATTACTTCAGATCAGCTGGAACAAATCCCAAGAGGGCTTAATCTCTGTGTGCAGGCAGCACGGGGCTAATTGCGGCAGCCCCTTTAATTGACCTCCACAGCGCCCCTGTCCCCAGTCAACCTCTTCCAAGCAGGGAGGTTCCAGAGGCCTCGCAGCCGCCTGGGAGACCCCTAACGGCAGGCCGCTCCCCCAACAAGCTCAGAACTGCCGGGGTCACAGGCCTCGTGTTCAGGAATCGAACCCGGAGACACCGCTCTGTGTCCCTCAAGTACAAGGTTAGAGAGAGATGGGGCCTGGCCTGCATTCCTGGCAGGGAACCACCTCCGAGGTCCCCCAGAGACCAGCTGCCTTCTCCGGGTTCCCAGCCCTGCAGTTCCCAAGGCTGCATGGGGAGGCGGAAATGAGGGTGAAGGTGGAGGGTACCCGGCGCCACTGGGGTCATGTTTTCACCCTGGGCACTGCTTCTCATGGGGAGCATCACAGTGGAGTCAGGGCCTCACCGGGGCACCCCTCCTCCTGGGGGACCTCCTGGTGGGGTCAGGGCCTCAGCCGGGTCACCCCTCCTCCTGAGG